TTGAGTTGGTATAAGCCTACTATGTGCTGAATTAATTATCAAGTTGTTGTAATCCCTCATGTAAATTGCAAGAAGATTACTTAAGGAAGGTGTCATGTACAAATTGGCCACCAGGGGATGCTACTGCATTGCTATTGGGACCTCTGAACACCGTCTTTCCATTGGCATAGTTGAAATTCCAAGGGGAGGGGGGAGTTTAATTTCTCTTTGTAGAGCTGGGTTGCTAAGGCGACAAATGGTTTTATTGCTTGTGTTGGTGCCCAAAAAAGGGGGAGAATCACCCTTTCTGAGCATCAAACGAAGGCAACAGAAATGTGCTAAGGTTTGAATTTGTCACCAAAGAAACCTTTTCAGCCTGCTATGTTCGTTTAAAAGGTCATTCTCATGCATCCCAAAATAAACTAGTTGAATTCATGTGCTAACGACAAAGCTCTTCTTCAAGGCTTACTGAAGCAGTTACAACACCCACTGGCTCCTTCGCTTTACAAGCAAACTGAGTTGAGTTCACAGACAATCTTTTGAAACCATCCCCTCATTGCCTCAAGACGTTTAAATTGCCAGCACAGGAAGGGGGAAGGGGGTTGCTGCTCACAACTCCTTTGATCCTTTCAAATGTGAAAAGCCACAGAGAAGTAGGGCTATAGAAATACACAACGCTTTCTTCACTTCAACGAAGAGAGATGCGTGCAAACGACATTAGCAACTGTTTTGAAAGTGGCTGAAGAAGGCTACACTTTCCCTGAGACAGACAGCACAATATCTCTTTGCTTTAAATGTTGGCTTGTAACAGATCCAAGGGTAATTTAGCAGAAGTATCCAAACAAGACACGAAGCACTTTATAACTTTTACTTTTCTTCCTTTAAACTGTTGCAGGAGATTAGAGGAAAATTAATCCTATAAATTTACTATGCTGCCCCAGACAGAACAGATTGCTTTCAGTCCAATCCAGGACAGATAGATAACTCAGAGGAACAAACAGAAAATATTGCTTTATTCTGGGAATCCTAAACAATGACTTACAGTTATGTAGAGATACGTCCAAAGTATATTTTAGCAATATTGGTTCATTCCACAGGTAAATTGATAATGGATTTTCCCCTCTTCTTCTGCATAAGCATCACATGTTGGCATAGGATCTCCAAGCCGTATGGCTAGGAGACATGAGGCTGGGTGAACAAAGGCATTCCAATCTGGCTTGTGTCCAGGAAGTCTCCCAATGCCCTTTAGAAACTCCTCCCACTGACCCATCAACAAAAACAGCACTGAACCCAATAAATGCCAGATATTCTAACATACTGATACATGCTTTCTAGTTAGAGTTACATAGAGCTATACGATCCAGAACAACAGGTTCTCCTCAAGGCTGCGTCCTAAGTCCGCTGCTGTTCACCCTGTTGTGCTAGGTTTGCCACCAACCATATTGTGAAGCTCGCAGATGATACAACAGTAGTGGGCCTTATTCATGATGACAATGTGGATGCTTACTGCAAGGAGGTTGAGGGGTTGGTGAACTGTGTAAGGAAAACAGCCTAGTTTTAAATACCGGAAAAACCAAAGAGATCATTGTCAATTTCAGAAAAGGTAGGCACAGCCACACTTTTCTGTGCATTAATGATTCACCTGTGGAGATGGTTACCAGCATCAAATTCCTGGGTGTGCAGCTAACGAGTAGGCTGGCTTGGTCGCTCAACAGCGAGACACTGGTGAAGCGGGCAAAGCAGCACCTGCATTTTCTCCGTCGCATGAGAAAGGCACATCTTCCTTCTATCCTTACCACTTTCTACAGGGGGACAATCAAGAGCATCCTGTCATACGGCATCACAGTCTGGTTTGGAAGCATCCCTGCTTCAGACAGGAAGGCAGTGCAGAGAGTGGTGAGGATGGCCGAAAAGATCATTGGCAGTTACCTCCCTCCCATCCANGAACGCGGCGGAACCGCGTTCCGGCACCTTTTTCCGGGCCGGCCGCACCGGAAATAGCCCCTCCCACACCGGAAATAGCCCCTCCCAAATTTTACTTGCATTCCTGTTCTCTAAAGGGGCGGTCCTAGGGTTTGATGAGGGCGTGGCCAGGTTTGAGTTCCGCCACCTTTTCTCCGAGAAAAAAAGCCCTGCCTAAGACCATCGGAAAACACATATTTCCGATGGTCTTCGGAACTTAGTCTAAGATACGCAGCGGTGTTCTTTTGCATCTCGACGGCTGCATCCACCTCGGGATCGGGGAATGGCTTTAAAGGCTCTCCGTGCGGTCCCGGATGTCCTTCGGCTGAATCAAACAGGAGCGCTTTTTCCAGGGAAGTCTTTTCGCAGCCGAGCTGGTCTCTCCTCGTATTCTGCAGAGGAGTCGGCGCAACATTGCTTGGCTTTGCCCCACAAACCACGGAAGGTCGGCTTAGTCCGAACGCTTCCCAGGTGCAGGAAGGCACCGAGTGGTGCTAACCGGAGTCAGAAACTTCCTCCGCTGCCCCGATCGCTAGTTCTGGCGGGCTCAGTGGGAATCACCTGCACTAGATGGGAACGGCAAGTCCAGGGGGGGAAGCAGAGGACTGCCTGCAGGGGGAGGAGTTTGTGACCCTTCCGAGACCGCCCGCCTGGTGGGCAGCCAAAGCAGCCGCAGTTCCAGTAGTCTTCGCCTGAAGAGGTGAGAGGAAGCCCTGCAGAACAGCCCTTCCCCTCCTGCCAACGATTCTTCTGCCCGCTGTTCCCCCACCTACCCCAGCCAAGTCCTGCCCTGTCAGAGAGCCCCGGATTCCGTGCGGGCCCAGCAGAGCCAAGCGGAAGGGAAAGCCATTGATCTTCATTCAGGCAGGCCCGGAGTTCTCTGAAGGACGTTCGGTTTCATTCTGGCTCAGAGAAGCATCGCTCCCTCAGGGGGATCGTGATTTCTGGCAAGCAGCCAGTTATTGAAGCCCGGCTTCCTCCTATCCCCCTACCGCCCTGTGCGCGCATCCACCCCAACTCTGAGCCCCCTCCTCTCTTCCATCCTTTACTTCTTGCCCTGCGGTGCGGTTGGTGCCCTCCGCTTTTCCTCGATGGCTAAAGACAACTTTGCTCGCTCAGAGCTTTTTCCTCTCTTCCCACGACAGCTGATTCCCCCCCCGACCTCTCCTCCTCTGTGATCCCTGCAGCCCTCCGTAAGACAGCACGTACTTTTTGATTTCTGCTGCTCAATCCCTCTTCGTCCCCGCCCCCCCTTGATGGCTTCCTACTTGTGGGATGCAGGGGAAGGGAGCACCATTTCATTACAGGTGGGAGAAGGAAATCTGGCTAAAGACAACTTTGCTCGCTCAGAGCTTTTTCCTCTCTTCCCACGGCAGCTGATTTCCCCCCCCCCCCCCCCCCCT